GTAGGGGCGGCCGGCTGCCGGTGGTCGGGCGCCGCGGGCAGTTGAGTAGGATTTGGTTTGTTGGTTTTTTGGAGGGGTGGAGGGGGGGGCGGTGGACCGGGGGGGGGGGTACTCATCTTAGATCTGGGTTGGTTAAATCTACTCCAACTGTCTTGATGTAAGTGCAGTGTCCAGACCTATTCCTTGAGCCAATAAAGCTGATTCTTCTGAGACATATGGAAAGCAGGATACTCAAGCTCAGCATAGGAGCAGCTGTTTAAATATCATCTCTGACAGCTATCCATCAAACCTTTGCAGGGCCCTGTGGTTGGAGGCTGGTACCAGGTCCTGGATCGTCTGGTGATAGGCAGAACCAAAGCGGCTGCACTCCAGAAGATGCTGCTGGATCAGGTTAGGGAAATCCTCATGAACTGGAGTGGTGAGAGGGGTACACACAAGCATCCCTCCAAAAAAATAGCTACCTACCTGATAATTCTTTTTCTGCAGATTTTGAGGATTGAAAGAACAAGCCATGACTGAATTATGGTCCTTACATTATCTAACAATTTTTGCAACTTAGCTTTTTGCGGAATTTCCCTTCTTGCTTGACACACGCACACACAGCTGCCCATCCCCTACATTACAGTGTTGTTACTGAGCTGGGAAAAGAATAATTGGCTGTACTTCAAGCATTTAAGCTGCAGGTTCTCAGCCATCATCACTATGCTGGCTCTGGTTTTCGCTGTATTTGGTGGGGAAGAGCAAGATCAACTGGACCCCCCAGTAGTATCTTTATCTTCTTCCTTGAGGAGATCTTTTCTTTACTCCTTTCCTGTTTTATAGGCCAGGAATGCTTCATGTTATTTTCCCGAATCTCTCTTGTACCCCCATCCACATTTCACACAGATTGGATTTGCACCTTGCTTCCTTGCCTGTTTTTTGACTGTGGCAGGAACACTCAATGGCTTATCCGTGGAAGAGAACTGGAACAAGCTCAAGGAGGTAAGTTCCAAATGAAGCTTCAGGACAAATATGCGGGTATAGAGATTTCAAAGAAGCTGAACAGGCATTGCCTTACTGGGTTGGCAAATAATATGTACCCATCACATTGTTCCATTGCAAATAAACAGCATTATACAAAGTTCAGAAAAAGAGTAAGAAGTAGTGAGTGAATGAAACTAAAGGCAGGAAGTAAGAGGAAAGAAAAGAAAATATACTGTAATTAAATCTAACCTTGCTACAAGCATTCCTTATACATTTACACGTATCTACAAATACATTAAACAGCCAAGGGGTTATCACATATCTTTATCTTTTGCCAAATGTTGAACTATTCACTTCCATTTATTTATTTATTTACTTATACATTCATTCGTACGTACGTATATACTTTGGTGCCACCTGACTCTAGGCCAACTTTGGGTGGATCACAATATAAAACACAACAAATGCTAACACAACAAAATAAATAGAAATACAATACAGTAAGGGAAATAAATAAAATGGCAAATCCAGACAATTTATTTATTTTTATGCATGGTTTACTCACATCATATACTAGTCTTATGGTATTCAGCAACTAGCTTTCATCTATGTATTAATGCAAAACATTCTATAATTCAAGCCTATATATTTTCTCTAAATCAACAGGCCTACAATAGGCTTCTTTCTGACATTCACACATCTTTCAGTGACTCTCTGAAGAGCAAAAATCTGGCTTGCACAGTGTCCCTGTTGCAAAGTCACTCTGCACTTCCCCAATTTTGTCTCATTGTCACTTTTCATACCCTTTTGATCAGGCTTCTGCCAAACAGCTTCCCAAGAACAAGTAATCCCCCGGTTGTTTCTGCATTCAGTCTGACTGAGTGAATTGATTGGCCATCCATGCAAATGATTCTTTGAAAGTACTACAAAGTCAGTCATGGTCATAATTAATAAAGCTGCTGCTCTTAAACTTGCTATAAGGGCAGGTGAGCATTCCTGATCTGGAAAGTGGAAGAAGTTCTCTAGGCCAGTGTTTTTCAAACTTGGCAACTTTAAGATGTGTGGACTTCAACTCCAAGAATTCCCGAGCCAGAAGTTGCCAAATTTTAAAAACACTGCTCTAGGCCAACCTCCTTTTCCAAGACACCACCCAACTTTTTGCAGAGTAGTCCCAAGCAGAGACAGAAATGTAGCAAGGGGAAGGGAGCTGTGCCATCGGGCTAGCGTGTTTTTTGCTCTCTCATAATATAGTACTTGCTCATCCAATGACACTTGAATGGGGGAGATTTCAAATAGACAAAAGAAACTACTAATTGAGACAGTGCATGATTAAACTGTGGAATTCAATTCTTAGTAGAAGAAGCAATTTAATTTCTCTCCAAAGCCTTTGAATTGCTTTCTCTTCTATGAATGTTCAAATTGTTACTAGTCAATGGTGATATAGTCATGTCCTAATCTTTATCCTCTCATTCTGAAGTTGTTTAATTCATTAGTGTAGAAACAGAATGTTAGACAAGGAAGTCCTTTGGTCTGAATCAATGCCATTGTTGTGTTGTAAAGCTTTCTGGAAAACTTAAGAAAGCAACAAGCTTTGTATTTGATGGATGGAAATTCAAAGAAGACAGAGATGCGCAGCTTCCATAGCAGCTTTAATTCCCCCAAGGCTGCCTGAGATACAAGATTCTGCCTTTTGAGCTGTGCCATCTTCTTGAATGGCTTTTGCTTTATGTCTATTTTTGTTCCTTGGTTAGTGGTCTGCCATATTCTGCTCTGTGAGATTCCTGCCTGCCCCTCTCAGGGTGGCTGAGTCACACGGTGCAGGTCTGGATAAAGGGTAACCTGTTTGGCACACATCTCCAGCATGTTATGAAAGTAATATGATGCCTTAGCAAGATGCTTTCTGTTTGCTCTTCCTTGTTCAGCAAAGAATTCTCATGTCTTCTGTTTGCGTGTACTATAACACTTTGTTTGCTAAGCAATGAGTCATAAAGGATACATTTCTAAGAAGTTTGATGGAACCCATTCTTATAGAGGGAAAGGAAATGGCTGTTTGAGAAAGACCATCTGTATCTTGGGAATACTGAACCAGGCAGGATCTGAAAGAAGTAATTACCCCAGAAACACCCTGTGCCTCTATTTCCTCTATGTCATTCCCAATCACATAGGAATCTATCTGAGCGATTTTGGGTGATGGTGGAAAAGTGATAAGTGTAAAATTATTCAGGTTTGAAATACAGCATTTCATATGCAAAATGAAGTTTTGAGCTCAAAATACTTCTAAACCAATCAATAAACAGCCCCTTTGCTCTCAAAATGATTCAAATTCAAAAATATTCAATTCAGCTATTGATAAGAGTAGTTCCTGAGTCTCTTTAGGGCTGCTGATGCCTGACTGGATGGAGTGTCAGTCTCCTGGGCTCCTCCCTGCCTTGTCATGTTCCAAAGACATGATCCTGTCCCATCCCTTCAAGAATTCTGGCTGGATTAGAAAGAAATATTCATGGCACCCAACTTTTGAGTAGGGCTATTGTACCTTAGCTGGAGAAATCCAGACAAACACTAGATGGAAGTAAATTTGCTGCCATATAATGGTCATTTTGGTTCTTGGAGTCCAGATATAATTGTCCTAATTTTGGGTGATAGCTGACTTCTTTGTTTGCACCCTGGCATGGCAAAGTCTAGACTTCCCATTCAAGAATTGATGATGGAGGATTATAGGAAGCTGATGCAATGCTTGCTGAAATGTGAGTGTAGTTAGTAATTCTGTTGCAGATCCTCCCTTGCTTTGAACCTCATCTAGCCAAGAGCAGATATTCATACCAAAGGAGAGATTTCCATCTTCTAACAATTTCAGCAGGTGATGTGATGGATTGGACTTATGAAGGCCATGCTCAGGGAGATAAGTGTGTTCTTAGCCCCCAACAGGAGCGTGGGAAGTTCAAGAAGATGAGGCTGGCACCTCCCTAAGGAATTCATGGTGTGGCTGGCTTGGGAACTTGGGTTCAGTCTGGTGAGATTCTGTCTTGAGATGGAAGCTAATAAACGCAACAGAACTGTATTTGCATTGTCTCTTGGAGTTCTTTGGGCTGAACCTGACAGGTGACTTGCAACTATTTTTCTCTGTCCCCTTCCCCACAAATATTTCAAGTGGTGAACACTGCTGTGAGAAAAGGTTGTAAGATAAAGCTACTGTTGAACATTTTAAATATTTAAAAGAAAAAGGTTCTGATTGCTTATTCTCTGGTGGCAAACTCCAAGTTAACAAAACATCATTGTCATATTCACATAACGTGCTATATGCAAATATACGTAATCCTTGGGTTATGGTGGCAACTGGGACCGGGATTGCTGTTGTTAAGCGATGCAATAGTAAAGCATGATGTCACACGACTGCATTGCTTAGTGACAATCCAGGCAGTCCCAGTTGCCATCATAACTCCAAGATGTGTGTAAGCAGGAAGCAGCATGAGTCCCAGGTAAGGAGCACAGGAGTGTCATAGGGGAGTGATGCGGGGGGGTGGGGGAGGCCCTGGGCGGCCTGATGCAAGCTGTCTGTGAGCACAAGGAGGCCAGGGGAAGGAGACCATGGGTCGGTGCAAGCAGAGAGGCTGGGGGTGCAGGTTGGCATGAGTGTGGGAGGCCAGGGGAGTACAGCATGGTGCTGCACAAGTGCAGGGAGGCCAGGAGAAGGAGGCTGTGGTGCCATGTGAGTGTAGGGAGGCCGGGGTACTTACCAGAGTGACTTATGACCTTCCCTGCCAGCTTCCCCATTGACTTTGCTTGTTGGAAGCCAGCAGGGAAGGTTGCAGATGGCAATCACATGACCGTGGGGCATTGCAACCATCATAAGTGCAAGCCAGTTGCCAAGTACCTGAATCACAATCAGGTGACTGTGGGGCTGGTGCAATGGCTGGAACTTATTTATTATTTATTTATTTATTTATCAATCAATCAATCAATCAAATTTTTTTCTCTCCCAGGGAGAAGTTTTCAGAGGCTCTAAGGCCAAATGATAGTTCTTCCTAAAGTCAAGTCTAAATCTGCCTCCCTGAACAGTCTTGTTTCTCAGTGCCTGAGTTCACACACTGCATTACATTCACACACTGCATTAAGCTGAGGTTTGTTTTACCCATGATTTAAGGAATCACTATGGCCTTGCTCATACAACACATTGACAGAGTTGGCATGCTTTGGTTCCCATCAATAAAACTGTCATCTGATGGGGCCCAGGAATATGTTTTCTCTTGTTGTGGTGCCTGCCCTCCCAAGGCCATTAGTATAAGTCCCTAAGAGTTGGACACATATAGCATCTTTACTTACCTATCGGTCCTCTGCTTTCTTGCAGGACTACACTGATGCCCTGATCACCAACTATTATGTGAGTGGCCTTTCTGTTACTTTTGGTGGGATTTGATAGCTTTCCTCTGGACAGCAGCAGCCTTGCAGAGAGATTGTCTAGGAGGGTTTGCAGTAATAATGGTGGAGGAAGAGACTTTTTCCATATTTTCCAGAAGCCCTGCAGAATTGCTCGGCCATTCAGTTGGTCCAGCCCTCTTCTGGTCGCTTCAGACTTAAGATGTTGGATGCTCTTCCTCTCTTCCTGTTTGGTGGGTGGGATGGAGCAGATGTGCTTCACTGGTTGCTCTTGATCAGGACTCTTTTCCAGTGGTGCTGTCTCCACCTTTCAGATTTGGCCAGCAGTGCAGATTGCCAACTTCTACTTCATCCCCTTGAACTACAGGTATAAACTGCCTTTCCTGCCTGAATTTCTTTACTTCTGACACTACCTACATGCACGCATGTGTGTGCGTGCACACACACATACACTGATCCAAAATTAGTGTTGTCCTTGACTTTTTTTTTTATTATAAATTTTATGATGTTTTCAAAAAAAGTTAAAATACAGAAAAATCAAGAAAAAGGAAGGGAAAAAAAATAAGGGGGGAAGGAGGGGGGCATAAGAAAGAAAGAGTAGCTTCCAACTTTCCTTGGTACAGGTATAGATACAGAATATATTTAATATCTAAAAGTTTACATAGTAAAAAATAGTTTTTAATGTAATAATCAAGAAGATTCCTAAAATCAATCTATTTGGATAATACATATAATTTGTAGAAGATATTTCTATAAGTATAACATCAATCAGCAAATCCTAAAATCAAAGTTGGATTTTTTTTAAGTATCAAGCAAAAAGTCTAAGAGTGGTTTCCAGTTAGAGACAAAGTTAGACAGTGCCCTGTCTTTGAGGAGAACAGTGAGTTTCACCATCTCCGCCAGTTCCATTAATTTCAGTATCCATCCTTCAGCAGTAGGTATTTGTAAATCCTTCCATTTTTGCGTTTTTAAGAGTCTTGCTGCAGTTATGTTGTCCTTGACTTTTTCTTCTTTTTGTATCTCCAGACTTGCTGTGGTCCAATGTGTTGCCATTATCTGGAATTCCTATCTTTCCTGGAAAGCCAATCGGCTATAACCTGGCATGGGAAGACATGAGAACTTTCCTTAATCATCTTAGAATGCCTGCACATTTTCTTTACTCTCTGTTCTTCACTCACTGCAAACAGATGAACAACCCAGGACATGAACCATATGCTAACCACAAAGATGCCCATCAACCAGCGTATGGAACTGCACAAAGACATAATCCTGAAAAAGCCCCAGTTGTTCCCTGAAAAGGAGAGTTGGGCAAAATAAATCTCTGCTCTGGATAGTCTGCTATTAGCAGTCAAAGAATCAGACCAGCTACCACAGATGCCTGAAGGAACTGAAGACATACTGTGTTGTGGAACACAGGAAGAGGAAATGCTGCAGTTATCTAGTTACTTCTCTGTAGAGTGGTAGGGTCTTGTAGGAAAACAGCTACTTTCTGTGAGCTATGTTTGCTCCCCTTTAGGAATATAAGAAGCTGTTTTATATCAGCAGGCCAGTTAAAGACTCTGATGGCTACACTTAACACAAGTATGCTTGATTAGTGTTCTCTTTACAGGTAGTCCTTGTTTAGTGACTGCCTCATACAGCAACCGTTGGCAGTGATGAAAAAGTAACTTTGCGACCAATCCTCCCATTTACAATCTTCACAGGTCTGTAAAGCAAAGGAAAGCTGAAGTAAGATCATAAGTACAATCATGGTTTCACTTAGTGACTGCTTTACTTAATGACTGAGTTGCCAGTCCTAATTGTGGTCACTGAATGAAGACTATCTGTATTTAGCTTTCTGATAGCTTAGCATGTCATGTGAACTCAATCCTCAGTTTATGGTTTAATGTATCATTTTAACTCAGAAAGTGGGAATTCAGTAAGCAGACCAAGCATCCTGTGTAAATGTAGCCATGGAATCAGCCCTTTGGTCCATCTTGCCTATTACTGTAAATAATTACTGTAGCGGCTTTTTAGGGTTTTAAGGCTATTTTTCCACTCTTGCTTTGGCGTATCAAGAATTAGATCTGAGGCCTTCTGAATGCAAAGCATGTGGTCTGTTGGTGAACTCACCTCTGAAATACTGGGATCCTGAGGGTCCAGCCAATATACTTAACTGAGTTAGTTTTTGAAAAGAATTTGGAAAATTGATCAAGGAGAGATTTATTAGTGGCCATTTGCCACAATAACTACAGGATATCTCCATATTCTAAACCAGTCTCTCAGCAAGTTTCCATTGTTAGTGAGCATCAGATAAGAATTATTGATTTCTAGGTTCTGCTTGAGAGCTTCTAAGGAATCAAAATATTGCTGACAAAGATCCACATAATCAAAGCTATGGTTTTTCCAGTAGTAATGTATGGCTGTGAGAGCTGGACCATAAAGAAGGCTGAGCACCGAAGAATTTATGCCT